CTGCGGCTGTGGGGATAGGGAGGATAGATGTAACTCACTGCAATCATATGCTCACTTGCATGTGACTTTGATCACCTGTGTTGTAGGAAGCACAGGGGCTGTGGGGACTTGTGCGATTTGCTGAAAAATTCCCTTCTCTTCTGTATGGTTTTGCTGTATATCCCTATACTTGTCAGCCCATAATTGTGAATATACATGCTGTCAAAGAACTCGGAGCCCGTTCTCACCTAGGTTATAATTCCATTGCCCAGTTCATCCAGTTTGTCGTTCTCACAGTTCATGATATTTGCACTCTAAAATTTAAAAGATGAAAAATGCAGTTTGGAGACCTTGGTTTCCTGCAGCAGGCGGTGAGAAACAACATAGAGGAATATTAGATCTTAAGATGGTCCACCAAATTATTAAGGCCCATCTACAGCTTGTCTATATTTCATTTGAACAGGCGGTGTTGTGTTTAAATGGTCTGATCACCTCGAGGAACTAACAAGAAGTAGATGAAAGAAAGATCAAAAGAAAGGATGTAGTTTGAGGTTTGCTTTGGTTAACTATGATCTACATACATCAAAGGGATCCGTGAGCAAAATTCATGTACATTGAGGATTTAATTCAGGTAATATGAATGTTGTGTTCCATTTAGAATGTGCAACACAAAAATTATCATTCAAGTATCATGAGTTCTACATACTTGAAACATACGAGGTGTACTAAAAATGGACAAGACACGACAATATTTCAAATATCGTACGCCTTTTAGTGAAGTTTAGATCAGTAATCACCCATCATGTATCGACTATTTAGGAGCTATTATTCAGGCGTTAGAATGACAATCCTGTTTTAATCGAGATGAAGAAATATAATCATCCATGATGATGGCATGCTGCATGGGCATAGCAAATTGGTTATTCGCAAGAGTATCAACTATTTAGTGGAGTTCTGATCAGTAAAAGATAGGATCATACATCATGTATCGGCTATTTAGGCCCTATAATTCAGGCATTTGATCGACAATTGTGTTTCAATCATAATGAAGAAATATAAACATCCATAATGAATGACATTCTACATTTAGGAGCATACTGAGTTGGTTATTCGTAAGAATATCAAATAATTTCCCAATTCCCTTACATACATGGATTTGTCCATACGTGCATTTATGCGAGTGCAGCTTCGTGTGCGCACACGTGAGGTTCCGTGGATTGCTGCAGGTTTTGCTTCTCTTCCAAAGATTTAATATCAGGCTGTGTGTGCATGCGTGTGCGGGCTCGCGGCGTGGCAGTGTATGTGTGAATGTGTGCGCGTGCGTGTGTGAGGGACTAACTTATGCTTATCATGTTTCCAAGGGTGCAATAAATCAGTACATCTTACTGATATCTAATCTTAAGTTTTACAATAACTGGTATGTTTTGAAGTTCATCTATTAGTTTTTTTTGTTCTTAATTCCTTTTCATGTTTCCTTCTGATGTTTAGGCATTATCTTTTGGACCTGATGAGGGTAACCCCTCGCGATTCGAACTGCACTGGACCTGGATCTCGATTTTGTGTTTTGAGGCCCGAGCTTGTCACTTCGTTTTGCCAGGTATCCTCACATTTTATTCTCATTCATAGTATTTTAATGGTAATTCATGTTCCCTTCCTGATTATACTACATTTAAATGGGAGCAAGGATGAAGCTACAAAGGCATCCTCTCAAGCTGTGACTGAAGAAGTTCAAGTAGCACCGGATTCACAAAATACTATTGCTGATCTCACAGTGAGTTCCGAAAGTTTGAAGTAGATACCGATTTGAGATATTTTGGATTTTAGTTTGATTTATCTGCTGAGAGTATGTTCTATTTGGTTTTGTTAGGTTTATTAGCGCCTTCGTGTTTAAATGTAATTGCTTATAGAAAATTTAATTCTCCAAAATTCTTTTTAGTCTGCTTGAATCTTGGCAGACTGTTTTTTCGTGACCTTGAACTGTAAAGTTACCTCGGAGAGGATTTGGCACCAAGTTAAAAAAAATGTAGGTTGTCAGGTTGACAATAAATTCCTTGTGTGCCATAGCAAACCTCATTCTCATGGTAAAAAGCTTAGTTCAAATAAACTTATTATTCTTTCTGCAGGAGACATCAACCAATGTGCATAAAGAGGCTAGTGAAGAATATGCTTCTGCTATGGATGACACTTGCAAACCCTCTGCAGAAATACTTTTGAATCCCAATGTACTTATGGAGTTTAAACTGGGAGGCAGTGAAGAGGTAAATTCTTAATGTTTGGTTTCTATATTAATTGTGCTTTGCATATATGATTTTCACAATCTCTTTGTCTATAACCCTCAAAATTTCCCTCTTCTATTACAGGAGATTGCTGCAGATGAAGTGTATGTGAGAAAGGCTGGTTCATATCTTACAGATATTGTTATTCCAAAATTTGTCCATGATCTGTGTAATCTTGAGATTTCACCAATGGATGGCCAAACATTGACTGATAACCTTCACTTTTATGGGATAAATGTCCGCTACCTTGGAAAGGTAAGCATCTCCATTTACCTATGAGTCCCCTAAAATGTTGTCTTGTTTCTACTAACTGATTGGATTTATTGTGTTACTCAGGTAGCTAACATGACCAAACATCTGCCTCATTTATGGGATTTATGTACCACTGAGATCATTGTTAGGTCAGCCAAACATATCCTTAAGGTGAGCAAGTCTTTCCATTTCATTTCTGTATTTTTGGCTTATATCCATGTT